TCAAAGCGGGGACCATGGGTTTGTTTCTGAAAAGGTCTTAGAAACCAGATGGCTGGGAAGAGCAGCATGTTCCTTGGCCACTGTTCTCTTTCACTTTGTGGAGAACAGTTCTAAGGAAATAGACCAGAACAAGGGAATTCTGGGAAGCCTTTTTTTTTAAATGTAACTAACGTTATTCTCCACTGCCAAAAATGAGGCGGTCGAGCCGCATAAGAGTTACATCTGGGAATCTCTTAGTGGCAGTTCTGCCCTGACCCTTAGGGTCTCAATCAGCCTGCTGTGACCTGATGGCAGGGAGGGAGGGAGGGGGGGTTAGTGAATCCGTGAGTGGTTTTTCTGGTTTCTAGCTATACAGCATTTTAAGGGGTTTTTGTTTGTTTGTTGTTTTCACTTAACCTATAACCTGCCACAGTAATTTATGGATTCCGAATGAAATTGGTAGTAAGGCAATACCAGAAGCAATGTAATGCCAAAGACGGTAAGTCCATCAAGACTCTTTGGAGCAATAGAGTCAGAGTCAGAATCAGTAGGAGAACACAGGGGCTTCAAAGTGATCACAGAAATATGGAATGAAAAGAAAATGGGATTTCCCCATACACGTTCTGAAGCACTTTCGTATGTACAGAGTCATGTGCTGCATAATATTGGTGCGGGCAGCATCTGACTGCATTTGTATAGGTCTGTGTTCTCAACCCTTATAAAGCTTATTGTATTAATAATTGCAAGGATCTACAATGGTTTGAAATAACAAGCAGGCACTACTTTGTGACACACATCAAAACACGGTTGCTATTATTGTTCTATTATGCTAAAGATGATTTAGTTTCTCTGTATTTACATTTTCTGTGAGTAGAAAGACACACTATATACAGTGTACTAAGGTAGCCCTTTGATGAATGGATTAGATATGAACTGTGTCTAACTGTTCTGACTTACATACAAGTTCAATTCAAAGAGGGACTTAGGAATGGAATTGGCTCATGATCCAAGGATATCTCTATATAATGGTCATGGCCTCACCACATCTAAATCTCGTAAATCCTATTTCACAGATTGTAACATGGATGTTAAGAGACACACACCCATATATCCTTCAGTGACTGGGGGGCTGGCAAGTCCAAAATGTGTAGGCCATGCCAGTAGGGTGGAAGTTCACAGGCAAGACTTGATGCTGCTGCCTGGAGATAGAAGTTCTTCCTCAGGAAACCTTAGATTTGCTGTTAAGCCTTTCAACAGCCTACTGAGATTACTGAGGATGACTTCCTTTATTTAATGGCAATTGATTCTAAAACATGTCCTCACCATACTACCTAGATTACTATTTGATTGAATAACTGGGATCCCTGGTGGCACTACTTTGGGGTAAGTGTTATCCAGTTAACCACAAGGTCTGTGGTCTGAACCTTTTGGGGAGTAAAATGAGGCTGTCTATCTTTATAAAGGTTGACAGTTGCTTTGTGATGGAGTAAACTTGATGGCAGTTGCTTTTGGTTTTGTAGTCAAGCCAAGCTGATGCCAAACCTGGTCATCAGAGAGAGAAGACAGCTGAAATAAAAATACTGGTCACTTCGCTGAGTACTAGGGAGTTGTGTCCATGGTGGTTTGTGCAGACATCCACCTTAGTTTCTAGACAAAACACTCCTTGGGTGGCTTTATGAAGAGAGTAAGAACATAAGGAAGGGGACATGTTGCGGCCACATATCCTCCAGTTCTGGGTGTCTAGGGCC